AAATTACAAAATTGTGAAACATAGGCCAAATACTAGTACAGAAGGTTATTCAACAACAGATTCTGGAAAATCGTCTACTGTGTATAGCATATCAGCCTTGATCGTTCTGTAGACGTTGAAGATCCATTCTCTGAAGTTGATTTGCATCTTGATCGCCTCCAAAATGCGAGACACTTCGCCCATCCTAAGATGCCCTCTGTCCACTTCTGCCGCTGTGCTTCTGAATATCCATTCTAGCATCTCTGTAGAGTACTTATGTGATTCTGTTGGATCATAGAACCTTAGGATTTCATCCTTATCCAAGTACACAAACCCAAAAGTGGGATTGTGAATAATGGAGTTTGGATGATACCTAAGTATCCAACCAAGTCTGCTGTATGGAGGGGAGATCTTTAGATCTCTTTGGACCAACCTTACCGCGAGCTCGAACTCCTTCTGGCTGTAATATCTTACTTGTGCGCGCATGACCTCAAGCAGCCTTCTGAGCGATATTGAGTAGCTTGACCTCCTCTCCATGTAGATGTTGAGAATTTTGTGCATGTAGATAATATCAAACACACAGAGGTTGTGGAGGTCAGCGTCTGTGAATGTATAGAGGTTGCCATCTTCCCTCCTTACTACATACTGAGCATAGAGCACCTTCTTCTTTAGCATAGTCCTTGGAGAAATTGTCTCTAGGGAAGTGATCATGTGATCTGAGAAGACTTGCTCACGAGGCCTTGTGAGCTTAGAGAACTAGAACTTGGCGGCGGCAGAAGGGATCCCTGTAAGCTCTGGATCATAGGGAGGCTCTGTGTCTGCTGCAGAGTACCTCCACACTTGAATTTCTTCCAWAGTAGTAACGGGCTCTGTTCGGACTTTTGGCATTGGAATCTTGCTCATTGATTCGAATATTTCAGAAACCTTTCCTACCGTGGCGGACTCTGGCACCTTGGCTTTTTCTTCTTCCAGAATTGGCCTCTGGGTTGACCCCTTTGCAAGGATGAGTTTGACGGTTCCTTGCAGAGTGTCAAACGTACTCGTGGATGTCTCTTGGACTTGTGGGAATTGTGATGAAGAGCCTTCTCCTGCTCTGTGAGGGATGGGGCCTCTGCCCTTCCTTGCTAGAGCCTCTGCCAGAGATGCCTTTAAAGCTTCAAGGAGTGCTGGGTCGTCTCTGTATTCCTCTTCATTTATTGCCTGTGGAGTCTCTTTGCTAGACGACGACCCCTTCTGTGGTGACTCTACAGCTTTGCCTTTACCTTTGCCTTTAGGCTCTTGTGCCTTTTCCTTGCCTTTAGAGAACAAGGCAGCTGTAGAGTCCACAATCTTGATGCCTCTGGCACGAGTCTTCTTTGGCTCGGTGCTTTCTTCTCAGCCTTCTTCTCTCCCTCATGACGATCACGATCATCACCTTCTTGATCGTCATGGTTCTTTTTGGCTTCTACCTTGCATGTGTCCAGGGGAGCCTTCTCCAACCTCTTCAATATTTTGGTGGCCGCCTTCTTCATATTCTTAATTGCCTCATTTGCAAGCTCAAAGGCGTGATTAATGTCGATCTCTGTCGACCATTTCAGTTTGGAGACGCTTCTGTAGATTTCGCTTCTRAGGAGGTCACCCTCTTTCACGAGCTGTGATGTGCAGTCTCTGATCGCTATGTTGGAGGCATGGGCCTCTTTGAGAAGCTGGTCTGTATGCTTGCACACGAGATTACCCAGAGCTTCAACCATAGCATCAATTTCTCTGCGGGTAGCTAGGTGATTGATGTTGGCCCTTGAGGACTTGGTATCAATATCGTATGTCACCGCAGAGGAAAATATCTGCTTGATTTCATTTTTGAGAGAGGAGTAATCCGTGTATCCCACAGAGATGAAGTCGGCAGAGAATTGGGCGGCCATCTCCGACAGTTCTGACTTGAGCTTCTGGATAGAGGAGGGGTTGAGAGAGAGTGCACTAAAGGCCTCTGCAAGGTCTTCTTTCTGAAGGACAGATCTCTGAAGGGTTAAAAGTGTAGACTTGAGTTCTGCTGTTGTTGAGCTCAACTCCTTCAGAGCCTCTGTTATTGGAGAAAGGTCTTCTGTCACCGTGCGGGAGATAAACAAGATTTTCAACTCGTCTATCTTTTTGAATACTTCCGTGGCAAAGGTTTGAAGCTCCCCCTTTGTCACATACGTATCCTGGGTACCTAAACCACCAACACATGGTGATTTAGTAGCCTCGGAGCGTGAGGCACCCTCAGCGACTGAATAGCGTAGTCTGCTCGGGGACTTCCACCAGATCTTCGAACTTCTCCCAGAGGAGAGCCTACTGGTGTTCTGTAGATTTCGTGCCCTGTAGGTTTAGAGACTATCATGGCAGAGTGATCTATTGGAGACATAGGGCGTTCTAGACCCTCTGTCGCGGTGTGCCTCACATGTGCCTCTGAAGCACATTCTGGGTGGTCACTCTTGTGTGAAGAGGCAACGAATGCCTCTGTGGGATGTGTCGAGTCCTTGGGCGAAGGGACTCTTGTAGTAAAACCTTCATCCTTTTAAGAGGATGGAGGAGTAATATGTGGTTGCCCGGCTGT